GCTTCTGCGTTTGGATCCAGGAGAGAGGAGTACCGTAGGGGAGGTGAAGGGATACGTGGACAAGGACTGGTTAAGAAAAGAAGACAGTAACCAGGAAAAGCAAACCAACCATGAGATGCAAACGGGCCAAGACAGCCTTTGTGCCTCCATGAATAATTAGATGCAAAGAGAGGTGGACACACTTCCTGGTTTCTGTGGAGGAGGTTCACCCTGGAGGCCATGGAGATGTTTGGTAACCCTTTAAAGCCTGATCCAAAAAATAGGAAGAATATTGGATTTTTTTAGTCTGAAGTCTTTCTTTGGCCCCTCAACAACATATGAAGAAAAAAAACAGACATTATTTTTATCAAATTATCGTGCAATAAGTCAAAAATGTATTTTCGTGTATTCTTCTACTGGCTTTTATCAGGTATATCTGAACGCGTACAACAGGGGTTTGAGCAAAGCTTTTACCACTGAATGATGCAAAAAGTCTCAGATCCAAAAGACTTCAGAAACCGTATCTATTAAATAGGATACATTTGGCTTTATAGGGTTAAGCTTTTGTGTTTGGATCCAGGAAAGAGGGGCATCTCCTTCATTGATTTTTTTTCCCAAACTGAATCTTAGACCTCTGAGAGGATTTTTTTATCCCCTTTCATCCACTTCCTGGACCCTCTTAGTGGAGGACCGGTTCCAGCATCAGGAGCCGCCGTCCCGGGATGGCTGAGGCTGATTTTGGCCCGGAGCCCCAGGACGTTTGTTCCACTCATGCTTAGCATGCATTTATAGAGCATTACGCTAACCAGGGTCACCTTTCAGCCGACCCCTGAGCCCAAGTAAACAGCCCGGCCTGTCATCCAGGCAGTGGCACGGCCCAAATAAATCCAACTGCAAAGCCAAAGTCCACACTGGCAAACACCCCCCCAAAAGACTGACACCTGCTCAGAGTAACAAGGACGTCTCATCCTAACCATGAAATTCAATTTTTATGTTCTCTCCCTTTTTACGAACATCTTAAGAAGCTAGTTTTCAGACTTTAATAAGAAAAAACTGATTCTTACATTCATAAACAAGGAAAAGCCGCACAAGAGCTGTATTTGCTGGTTTTATGTGCTTTTAAAGCTTTAAAAGAAGCAACTTTTAGGTTTTCAGTGCTCTCAAAAAGGAAATAAATGCATTAATGACACATGAAAGGCTGATTATTATCAGGCTTTAATGGAATCAGCTGCTTGTTAGTGATTATTTTTGTCTACAGACAAGTGATGTCTTCATTGATTAGTTCAAATGTTGTTTTATCCCTTTTCTGTGTGTTTATAGTGTTTGTGCTCTTTGAAGGGTGGAATTCTTTGTCGTGACAAAGCAGCAATGACAGTTGTTTTAAATACTAAAAAGAGAGTTTTATTAATCAGTGTTATGTGGTGCCTCATTTGTCCTTTACTAATATGTCAGAGTTTGTAATAAAAACCTGAATATAAATACATCCCAGAGAGAAAATGTGTGTATTGTTGACTACAATGGCATTTTGAATTTCAATAATAATACATATGAACTTTATGTAACATTTTATAGCCAGAAAAAGGTATTTGATTCCAACTAATGATGTGATAAATTAGTAGGCAACCCTTTAACGCATTATGCATCATATTTGGTACTTAGACTCATTTATGACAAAGTTAAAGCTTTGTTTAAGAAAGAACAACCTATTTTATAGAATATTTCCCCTTTTTTGCTCTTTGGTTTACTTTAAAAATGTCCAGAGAATCATTTATTTTCTTTACATTTTCCTAAAGAGTCAAACAAAGATGCAAAAATGAGCATTTGCCCTTCATCAGGGCATGTTATCTTACATTTTCTTTTAGCATCTCTGCAAAAAAAAACCTCTGAGATTTGAATAAAATGACTCAGAATCGGAGATGTATGAAGTACTGGAGTAGAGGAGGGGAGTAGAAGTACAAGTACAAGTACTATATAAAAAAAAACAACAATCATGAGCTGACCCTTTATGCTATCATGTAGCATACAGCTAGCCAGCTAGGTTAGCTTTAGCTAATGTTAGCTGCTACGTCCTGAGTGAACAGAGAACTGAACTAGCGCTTATTTACTAGCTAATATTATCTATTATCTAATATCTTTGTATTTTTTAACTTACCTTGATATGCTTATTCAGATTAGATGGGAAATCTTTTTTGAAGGCCGTGATTTCGCAATCTTTCGGGAGGCTTTTTAATAAAAATAAGCTATCGCCCAATGAGGAGCCAGCTTCCCAAACCCTGACAGAGCTATCGATCATTAAGTTTACATATCAGTAACGAGTAACGATTCAGTGAAAAATCGATCAGAGTAAAAGTATTAGATTAATCAAAAATATGTAGTGGAGTAAAAGTAAAAGTTGGGAAAAAAATACATACTCCAATAAAGTACAGATACTGCATTTTGGTACTTAAGTACAGTACTTAAGTAGTTCTGCTTCGTTACTGAACATCTCTGCTCAGAATTAAATTAGTCCCGTTCAAAATGGTGTCTGTGGGTACAAACACTAGCAGGATGTTTTAATCTAAAGTGGAAAGAGGCTGAGAAGGTCACCGCACCGGCCTCGTTGTCAAGATTTTAGCATTAAATGGCTGCAAACCAAAATAAATAACACAAAAGTTTGGGCGTGATGGCAGCAGAAACATGCATCTGTCAGGGATCAGTGTCTCTGCTGAGTCCATCTGAGCTAATCCCACATCCTGATCCCTCATTCTCCACTGCCAGACCCGATGGGATGTTTACACATCGCAAATGAGTCCCTCTGGGCGTATCGGTGGCCCTGAGACCTCGTGGCCCTTTGCAAGCCCTCGGATAAATATGTGGAGCTCTTGAAGGTCTGTCCGTCCCTCGGAGACGGACCTACTTGTGGAAACATGTGTAGTGAGCAGTTGCTGTTATATGTCTAATGCACCAGGAGGGGGGGGCGGGGGGGCAGAGATGTACAATAACCTAGCAGAACTACTATAGTACTGTACTTAAGTACCAAAATGCAGTATCTGTACTTTATTGGAGTATGGATTTTTTCCCCTACTTTTACTTTTACTCCACTACATATTTTTGATTAATTCAATACTTTAACTTCGATCGATTTTTCACGGGCTGAATCGTTACTCGTTACTGATATGTAAACGTAATGATAGATAGCTCTGTTAGGGTTTGGGAAGCTGGCTCCTCATTGGGCGATAGCCTATTTTTAAAAAAGCCTCCCGAAATATTTCAAAATCATGGCCTTAATGAATTCCCCATCTAATCTGAAGAAGCATATCAAGGTAAGTTAAAAAATACAAAGACATATAAGCTAGTAACTAAGCACTAGTTCAGTTCTCCCTGTTCACTCAGGATTTAGCATCTAACGTTAGCTAAAGCTAACCTAGCTGGCTAGCTGTATGATAACGTTAGCTAAAGCTAACCTAGCTGGCTAGCTGGATGCTACATGCTAGCATAAAGGCTCAGCTCAGGATTCTGACTCTGGAATAATAAATAATAGTACATGAAGTGCTGTTAATTGCTAATGCAGATGTAGTTTTCTGTTTTTTGTAAACACCTGTATGGCCTTTCACACGTTTGAAATAATATAAACAATATCTATCACACTTTTGACTGCCTTTTTTTAAATATACGCAGTACTTGTACTTTTACTTATACTTGTACTTTCGATACTTGAGTAGCATGTTTGAAATACTTCTACTTGCAATACTTAAGTACAAAAAAATGAAGTACTTCCGTACTTCCACTTAAGTATGGTGTTGAAAGAACACTTCAACTTTTACTCAAGTCAACTTTTTTATATAGTACTTCTACTTCACACAATCTAGAAGTTATGAAGGTTTGTGCAAGATTTTTAAAAATCCACTTACCGAAAATCCGACTAAAAGCTGCGCGCTTTGGTGAAAACGGCTTTTTGTGCTGTGTATCAAACTATAGATTGGCTATAAACGTACAGTTTGATACTCAACATCTGAGCCATTTCCCAGAATCCACCGGGACCCGAGCGGCCTCCGGGGGGCCGGAGGCGAAGGCTGAAAGCTGACACGTACAGCCGGAGAAATGGGGGGTGTCGAAGTTAATTGCTGAGTCAGCAAAAAGCCACGAGTCAAACTTTTTGAGGGTTCCTCAAAGAGCTCGTTTTCCAAACCGGGTCAAACTAAGCTGAGTAACACAGTTATGAGTCAGACAGCAGCTGAACAGGCATAAACACACAGCACCCTCAAATAAATGCTTTTTTTTTGTTTTTTTGGCCTGAAAAGTAAGTTTTGGAAAATTCCGTTTTTTTTTGTTTTTTTTTTGTCGCACTGGGGTTAAGATTCATGAAGTTCTCCGTAGTTATGTTGAACAGCGAGGCAGAAAAACAAACGCTAACTCAAAACACAACACATATGCAGCACATTTTTTATAAAAAATATTTAACGTTTACAGCAGGAACTAAACGGAAAGTATGCAACACATTCCTCTGTTCAGCTCGTTTTCTGATTAGCTTCTGTGTAGTTCAGCAAAGAAAATGTTCAAATTGATGGAAAAGTGGACATGTAGAGACAGAAAATTACCTTAATGAAAGAAACTGAATAATGCAGCCAAGATGGTTTGAAATAAGTCTCATAAATTCTAAAAGTAATTGACAAGATATGGAGAGGAGTTTGTACCTTGCCTAATAACTTCAGGGTTTCAATGACTTTTTGCACGCCGTTTTAATGAAACATATTATATGTAAACTAGACAAAATGTGGGATTTGCTGCCTCCATCATCGCCCTCAAAGTTTAAAAAGTTTAAGCGAAAACAAGAATAACATTAAAAAAGATGTCAAGGCAAAAACGTTCAGGATTTCAATACACGTGACCTCAAATGGGCCCTGGACTCTTTCATACAGTCTAGTCACACATTTTTCTGATTTGAGGAAGTTTGATCTGTGAAACGTGAGACGTTTCCCGTATTCATTCGTCATACTAGTAAAAGTATCTACTGGTGAAAGCCTGTTTTCTGTATTTACAGCATAAACGTGAAAAAAAGACATTCATATAAAAAAAAAAATTCTGATACGGAGGACTGTGTGTATTAAAGACTGACAATAGATGGTGGGGTTCAGATTAAAGAAACTCTGAGTGTGTGTGTGTGTAGGTGTCTGTGTGTGTGTGAAAAGTCTCATTGTTTCGGATTGATCTGCATTCAGTTTGTTCTGATCTGGATTCAGGGGTGAATTTAATTTAATGAGTCCATCATCTTTTTTTTTCAGGGCTGTAAACCCACTAAAACCCACCTAAAAAGTTGGTCCCCATAAAGCATGGCCTGGTCCTGCGTCCCTACAATATACTAAAGACAAGTAAAGGTGTGTGTGTTTCTGGATTCATCATAATAATAATCATAATAATAATAATAATTCATAATAATCTGGATTCAGGAATGAATTCAGTTTAATGAGTCCATCACCTTTTTTTCAGGGCTGTAAACCCACCTAAAAAGGTTGGTCCCCATAAAGCATGGCCTGGACCTGTGTCCCTACAATATACTAAAGACAAGGATTAGTGTGTGTGTGTGTATATGTGTGTGTGTGTGTGTTAAAAGTCTCATTATTTCTGATCGATCTGCATTCAGTTTGTTCTAATCTGGATTCAGGG